CCTGCTGAAGCAGATGAAGCAGTGACAGGATCATCCAGTGTTCTTATCAAACAACTTTGAGATGAAGATGCACTTTGAGATGAAAAGATGCATCTTTCAACTATGTAGCAACTTTAGCTCTGGTCCCAACTGAAAAATTGAAATACAGAGACCAGACACAACAGAAAATCATATATACTTATTCTAGGCAAAGACGTCTATATGACAAGATCTGTGATAGGTTTTCTCACTAAATGTGGTCAAAAGTAAATCATATCCAAATGGCAGAAGATGGTAGGACCAGGAAACGTCTATTTTTATGTGTACAAGAGTTGTAACTTTTTTTGACACAAGATGAAGGCATTAGGATTTGGGACTCTCAGATAAGCAAATTAGCTATACAGTATTGATTAAACATCTGGCAGTGACTGGTATGAACAACTGATCTTTAGAATCAGCTCCAAAACCATCATACTCTGACTTCCCTAACAAACCCATTGAGTTAAAAAAAAAAAAAAAAAGTCACTTCCTCACTCTAGTAATAATACTTCAAGACTGCCCATCAATTCAAGCACAGAACACTATGCTGACAATACTGTATATTCTGGACTTATTTTTACGATAAGTATCAGAAACACTTATTTCAAGTATAAATCTAGAACAATTCTGTAATAGTAAATCAGGTTAGGTCCTAATCAATGATGTGAAAAACAAACAAAAAAAGCCCCAGACACAACTCACCCAAAAACCCAAACCACCACCCAAACTCCACCGCCTCTCTTGTGCTCGCTCCATGCTCTTGACAATGCGCCCTTTTCAGCTTTAGTTCTCAGGCTTATTCCTCAAAGATTTCATCTGCTTTGAACAGAATGAGCAAGTATGACACAGAGCTAAAAATATGGTGTCCTTTTCTGAAAATACAAGCATTATGAGGACAGAAGAGGTATCAGAGAGTAGATACCAATCGTGGAAAGCCAGAGGAGCTGTAGCTCTGATCTCAGGTAAAGTTATGAAGTGAAGCATAGATGCAAGATCCATGAAAGTGAAGGAGAATACCTATGTAAGAGAAAGGAGAGCTAGAACAGAGTTGAAGGTAGTTAAATTCCAGGTTTACAGATAGTAAAGGTTTTGAAACAGTCAAGAAAGTTTATAATCTCCTCCCTCTGAACCCAGAAGTCTAGTGACTAGTAAGGTCCATTTGGTAGAGCATGTCACATATTTTTAATTACTTTCCTCTGCCTTTCTCTCTGGATTAAAAGCGCAA